TAATACAAATGCCGGAATATTGCTCCTGCAGACTTGTCACCAGTCACCCCACTTCACCAGTAGTATAAAAAGTGCATCAGTAATAAAATAAATCTATAGCAGAATGGATTTTTTTTTTACAAGACAATGTACCGACTGGAGATGCAGCTTCCTCGATTCAATGATCAGTATGACAAGGTTGGTGACCAAGTGTTCTCCAGCCTATGATAGATTTGAGAAACTTTGGTTATTAACGAAACTGTGTCATAAGAAAGATTAATGAAAAAAACGGGATTTCGTTTTACATTATCGGGTTTATAATGTTTTTTTCCCGAGTGCTGCAGTGTGGTAATAACTTTTATGTAAGCTGAGCAACGTAATAACTCTTAGCCTTTTATTGTATCGAAAAATTTGTTCTACGTATTATCTGCCTTCTTACGACTTCACTTATTTCTTGAAGTTTATTTCCATGGTTTTATTATTTTTACTAAGTAGCGTCGTCTCCGAAATTATATAACACGACTGAGAATTAGGGCTCTCAATGCCGTATATAGAACGCACATAAGACGAGTGTGTAATTATTTATCTGCAGCTACAGCAGCAGAGACTTTCTTGTGGTCTTTCATCTCCAGTAATTTTTCCATCATAACTTATTTTAGAGTTTCCAGTATCCGAAACAATTACGTTTTCCTGTTTTACTTTTCTTCATTAGTCTAACCTTCTCTTTGCTTCCAGGTTTTTCAGTTTGTAATGATGGTCATTTGTTGTCCCAGATTTCTAGCTTTTATAACCTTATCTGTGTATGTGTATGCGTGTGTGTGTGTGTGTGTGTGTGTGTGTGTGTGTGTGTGTGTGTGTGTGTGTGCTTGTGCGTGTGTTTGTGTGTATGTGTGTTTGTTTGTTTGTTTTTGTGTGTGTGTGTTGTGTGTGTGTGTGTGTGTTTGTGTGTGTGTGTGTGTGTGTGTGTGTGTGTGTGTGTGTGTGTGTGTGTGTATGTTTGAGTGTGTGTGCATATGTGAGAGAGAGAGAGAGAGAGACCATGAGATACACTAGAAAAATAGAGCTACACAGAGAGAGAGAGGTGTGAAGCAACATGTACCACAGCGAAGAGTGCATTCTTCTAGAGGTCACCTTAATACTTAAAATTCACGATGTGACATGCCAGTAAACAGCACACGTGTGGGTGAGAGGATCTTATTTAGAAGTGAGGCGCTGCATAAGTAACAGAATGAGAGAGAAAGTGAAATCTTGCCAGAATTATTAGTAAAAGGCTAAATAATGAAGAATTAGGTAAAAGTCAAGAGAATCACCATTTACTGAACGACTGAACAAAGGGACAAACTGACAAAATATAAACACACACAAAGAGAGAAAATAAAAGTGAAGATCAAAACAGGTATAAAACGCTGAGAATCAGAAGCTGAATAACAGAAAACGAAAGGGAAAAAAATTGCTACCCTCCTTTGTCAGTTTTCGTTTTATGATTTTATTAATTGTTTTTTTTAGCAAAACGGAAGATAAATACTTACGCCTGTGTGGCGAGGATAACTCTCTGAAAGTGTCTATTATTGGGGGCGCTTTTGTCTGTGTTAAACCTGGTAAAAACACCTTCGCTTGTGTAATACTAGAATTGATAAGATTTATTTACTGTGTAAACACTAATAAAATTTAATGAGTTAGAACTCAGGTGTTAGAACCATGTTTATTGTGATAGAACTAGTGACAATATGTGTTCCCTCTGTTGTCAGTAATGAAAGTAAATGTTTTCGAATTAGAATATATGTAAATATATGTTTACGTGTTAAAATAAATGAAAAAAATGTTTACTATGTTTAAACTAAAAAAAAAGGTTTATGTTGGAAGTAATGAAAACATTTGTTTACTCTCATTGAACTAATAAAATCATATTGTGTAATCATATATAATAGTGTAAACAGATATTTCCCATGACTTGTAACGTATCAGTCGTGTGTGTGTGTGCGGTTTGTGTGTGTGTGTGTGTGTGTGTGTGTGTGTGTGTGTGTGTGTGTGTGTGTGTGTGTGTGTGTCACTAAACCCTCCACCATTCACCAATGCATGTGTACTGGAAACCACAGAAATGCTTGCTACTTATCTGTGCATTCAAATCACTAGCAATTCTTCATTTATTTGTTGTCCCACATTCCTTTCATGTCTTCCCAAATCAAGCATCCAACAAGATCACGTCACACAGAGTAACAACACTGCTAGTGCAAGATGCTGTACCGTGCAGCGGCAGTGGGGGTGCGGGCGGGAGTGGGTCAGCGGTGCCTTCAGGTGCCGCGGGATAATAACGGTACGTTTCGGGTGTTTTGTCAACTCTGCCTCGTCACTTGCACTGTTAAAAACTCCATTGTGCAACAAGATAACCAGAGAAGATTTCACCTCATAATTATTCATTAAGGAATTCCCAGAGCAGTGTAAACAGAGGCGGGCTCAGTCAACCCACCTGAGGAACCCCCGCCTCACCTCATGCACTGACTTTCATGACTTGAGAACTCACCTGACGGGCTTCCCTCCAAGACAAGTATCCAACACATATAGCAAACCAACAGTAAGATGCCTGGGTATATTAGCTGACCTTATATATGTGGAGGGACTATAAGTGGGGGCTGCTCCCCCTCACCACCTGCTAGACCCACTCAGGAGCCTCTCCGCTTTCAGTTTCATCCGAGCATCGACGAATCAGCGGCCAGCTTCATGTCACCACCCACCAATGAGCATCGCCGGCACATACACCTCTCACTTTCATCTGGGCACCACGTAGGAAGAATGCCATTGATGATTTTTAATGTTTACTTACATATTTTCTTATAATAACAAACTAAACGTATAAAAGAACGATAGTTCAAGCACTTTTCGTGAATATGCCCAAAATCGGAAATATTTGCCAAAGTATTTGCAGTAGGAGGCAAGTGATGAGGCCAGGAAGATAAACCAAGGTCCCACACTCCTCGCGATGACACCTCACACGTCCGGCACCCACCCAACCTTGTGCAATGGCCCTCCCTCCAGCCTCATCCTACCCACCTGCCTCATTGATCCTCACTTGGCACTCATTCTGCCACGGTATTGCCACAGTACTTATGCATCCGCGGTGATAATACTGCAACGATGCTTCTACGACAATAGTAGAGCAATAAATATAGTACTATTACTGCCTCGGTATTGCTACTGCAACAGTACTCCTATTGCATGGTATAGCTACAACCAGGGTATTTATCAAGGCTGAGGGACTGATTACCTCAAACTCCTCCTCAACTTTCATCTTTCACTGCATTGGACTGAAGAAACCACTGTCTGGCGAAGCATTTCCAGAATAAAGGTTCCCAAATGTTGCAGGAAGTGTCAGGGTACAGTTACGGTGAGTTACTATCATGGTACACACACTGGAACGGTTCTTCTATTTCCACGGTAGTATTTGTCACAGAACTGCTATCGTTGCTATACAATTACTGTCTTAAACAGCTATTGTCAAGGAGTTGTTACTGTCACGGTACTGGTACTGCAACGGCATTAGTACTACTATCATGGTACTACAGGTGTCACGATACCGCTATATTCATGGTACTGTTACTATCACAGTACTGTATATATGACCACGGTAATACTACTGTTACGGGCCACGGTAATGCTACTGTTACGGCCACGGTAATACTACTGTTCATGGCCACGGTAATGCTACTGTAACGGCCACCGTAATACTACTATTACGGTCACGGTAATGCTAATGTTACGGTTATATTCACGGTACTGTTACTGTCACAGTACTGTATATATGATCATACCAATATATTCACGGTACTGCTACTGTCACAGCACTGCAGTTGTGACGGTACAAAGACATTCACGGTACTGCTGCTGACACTGTAATTCTGTTATGTTTACGGTACTGGTACGGTCATGGTACTGCTACTGACAGGGTAATGCTAGTCACCACCGTACTGCTTTTTACGCGGTACTCTTACTCTTACGAAACCACTACGATCGCAATACCTCTACTGCTACAGCAGTGCTACTGCCACGATACTCCTACTACTACCGTACTGCTAATGTTACGGCCATAATAGATCTGAAGTTATTTTAATGCATCGGTCACGGTACTGGTACAATTACAGTACTGCTCCTGCCACGGTACTGCTATTGTCACGGCCACGGTAATGCTACTTTTACGGCCACGGTAATGCTACTGTTACTGCCACGGTAATGCCACTGTTACTGCCACGGTAATGCTACTGTTACGGCCACGGTAATGCTACTGTCATGGCCACGGTAATGCTGCGGTTACGGCCACGGTAATGCTACTGTTACTGCCACGGTAATGCTACTGTTACGGTCACGGTAATGCTACTGTTACAGCCACGGTAATACTACTGTTACTGACACGGTAATGCTGCTGTTACTGCCACGGTAATGCTACTGTTACGGTCACGGTAATGCTACTGTTACGGCCACGGTAGTACTACTGTTACGGTCACGGTAATGCTACTGTCACGGCCACGGTAATGCTACTATTATGGCCACGGTAATGCTGCTGTTACGGCCACGGTAATACTGCTGTTACAGCCACGGTAATGCTATTGTCACGGCCACGGTAATGCTACTATTACGGCAACGGTAATGCTACTCTTACGGTCACAGTAATACTACTGTTATGGCCACGGTAATGCTACTGTTAAGGCCACGTAATATTACTGTTACGGTCACGGTAATGCTACTGTTACGGCCACTGTAATGCTACTGCTACGGCCACGGTAATGCTACTGTTACGGCCACGGTAATGCTACTGTTACGGTCACGGTAATGCTACTGTCATGGCCACGGTAATGCTACTATTACGGCCACGGTAATGCTACTGTTACGGTCACGGTAATGCTACTGTCATGGCCACGGTAATGCTACTATTACGGCCACGGTAATGCTACTGTTACGGTCACGGTAATGCTACTGTCATGGCCACGGTAATGCTGCGGTTACGGCCACGGTAATGCTACTGTTACTGCCACGGTAATGCTACTGTTACGGTCACGGTAATGCTACTGTTACAGCCACGGTAATACTACTGTTACTGACACGGTAATGCTGCTGTTACTGCCACGGTAATGCTACTGTTACGGTCACGGTAATGCTACTGTTACGGCCACGGTAGTACTACTGTTACGGTCACGGTAATGCTACTGTCACGGCCACGGTAATGCTACTATTATGGCCACGGTAATGCTGCTGTTACGGCCACGGTAATACTGCTGTTACAGCCACGGTAATGCTATTGTCACGGCCACGGTAATGCTACTATTACGGCAACGGTAATGCTACTCTTACGGTCACAGTAATACTACTGTTATGGCCACGGTAATGCTACTGTTAAGGCCACGTAATATTACTGTTACGGTCACGGTAATGCTACTGTTACGGCCACTGTAATGCTACTGCTACGGCCACGGTAATGCTACTGTTACGGCCACGGTAATGCTACTGTTACGGCCACGGTAATGCTACTGCTACGGTCACGGTAAGGCTACTGTTACGGCCACGGTAATGCTACTGTTACGGCCAGAGTAATACTACTGTTACAGCCACGGTAATGCTACTGTTACAGCCACGGTATTGCTACGGTTACGGCCATGGTAATGATACTGTTACGGCCACGGCAATGCTACTGTTACGGCCACTGTAATACTACTGCTACAGCTGCGGTAATGCTACTGTTACAGCCACGGTAATGCTATTGTTACGGACATGCTAATGCTACTGTTACGGCCACGGTAATACTACTGTTATGGCAACGGTAATGCTGCTGTTACGGCCACGGTAATGCTACTGTTACGGCCACGGTAATGCTACTGTTACGGCCACGGTAATACTACTGTTACGGTCACGGTAATGATACTGTCACGGCCACGGTAATGCTACTATTACGGCCACGGTAATGCTACTGTTACGGTCACGGTAATACTACTGTTATGGCCACGGTAATGCTGCTGTTAAGGCCACGGTAATATTACTGTTACGGTCACGGTAATGCTACTGTTACGGCCACTGTAATGCTAGTATTACGGCCACGGTAATGCTACTGTTACGGCCACGGTAATGCTACTGTTACGGCCACGGTAATACTACTGTTACGGTCACGGTAATGATACTGTCACGGCCACGGTAATGCTACTATTACGGCCAGGGTAATGCTACTGTTACGGTCACGGTAATACTACTGTTATGGCCACGGTAATGCTGCTGTTAAGGCCACGGTAATATTACTGTTACGGTCACGGTAATGCTACTGCTTACGGCCACTGTAATGCTACTGTTACGGCCACGGTAATGCTACTGTTACGGCCACGGTAATGCTACTGTTACGGCCACGGTAATGACTACTGTTACGGTCACGGTAATGATACTGTTACGGCCACGGTAATGCTACTATTACGGCCACGGTAATGCTACTGTTACGGTCACGGTAATACTACTGTTATGGCCACGGTAATGCTGCTGTTAAGGCCACGGTAATATTACTGTTACGGTCACGGTAATGCTACTGTTACGGCCACTGTAATGCTACTGTTACGGCCACTGTAATGCTACTGTTACGGCCAAGGTAATGCTACTGTTACGGCCACGGTAATCCTACTGCTACGGTCACGGCAAGGCTACTGTTACGGCCACGGTAATGGTACTGTTACGGCCACAGTAATATTACTGTTACAGCCACGGTAATGCTACTGTTACAGCCACGGTAATGCTACGGTTACGGCCATGGTAATGATACTGTTACGGCCACGGTAATGCTACTGTTACGGCCACTGTAATACTACTGTTACAGCCGCGGTAATGCTACTGTTACAGCCACGGTAATGCTACTGTTACGGTCATGGTAATGATACAGTTACGGCCACGGTAATGCTACTGTTACGGACACGGTAAGGATACTGTTACGGCCACGGTAACGCTACTGTTACGGCCACGGTAATGCTACTGTTACGGCAACGGTAGTGCTACTGTTACAGCCACGGTAATGCTACTGTTATGGTCACGGTAATGCTACTGATACAGCCACGGTAATGCTACTGTTACGGTCACGGTAATGCTACTGTTACGGTCACGGTAATGCTTCTCTTACAGCCTCGGTAATGCTACTGTTATGGCCACGGTAATACTACTGTTACGGTCACGGTAATGCTACTGTTATGGCCACGGTAATGCTACTATTACGGCCACGGTAATGCTACCGTTACGGCCACGGTAATGCACTTTAGGCACGGAATCTACGTTACGGTCACGTAATACGGTACGCACGATACTACTGTATGCACAGACTGTTCCACGGTAATGCTACTGTTGCGGTCACGGTAATGCTACTGTTACGGTCACGATAATACTACTGTTATGGCCACGGCAATACTACTGATAAGACCACGGTAATATTACTGTTACGGTCACGGTAATATTACTGATACGGTCACGGTAATGCTACTGTTACGGCCACGGTAATGCTACTGTTTTGGCCACGGTAATGCTACTGTTACGGTCACGGTAATGCTAATGTTACGGCCATGGTA